GTGCAGCGTGTGCGGTGCAATCGCGCGGGTGATCAGAAAGGAGGATTGGACGAGCGTAAATTCTTTATTATCACACGTACCGAAACGTACAGCGAAGCGTACAATGCAGAAAATATGTAACAATAACAATGTAATAATAATAATAATAATAATAATAATAATAATGGTAATAATAATGGTAATAATAATGGTAATAATAATAACGGTAATGATGATGATGACGATAATAATAATAATAATAATAATAATGATAATAATAATAATAATAATGGTAATAATAACAGTAGGTGATTTTTTAATCCAGTTTGTACGCGGGTCGGACGTCCACTAAAATTATCCGTATTAAGCGTAGGACGCGCCGACGCGAAACTTGCAGCTGTACGTCAAACGCAGCGAACCGTTTATTAACATACACTTAACCGTTACGCGCTTGTCTCTTAATGCAAATATCACTTTGTCCTAGAAGATAAAGACGAAACTGTCGCCTCGTAAGCCGTCGACCGTCGACGGTAGAGATGACAATGGGAGAGGGGGGTGCCAACGACTAATTGTCTTTGTGCCGTTAAAATTACCCCTAGGTAACGCGAGACGTGACCTAATTAGATAGAAAATTAAAGTTACACGAGTGCATACACACGCGAATGCGATCGTAGTCCTATTGGAAATGATTATGCTTAGAGATAGCCGCTAAACAGAGCTTGCCAGATGATGGGTCTGTTCTTTCCAGCTGAGCTAGTGCTGCAATGCTTCGGAACTAGAACTGACGAGTACACGGCAAGAGTTCGCAGGTGCAGAAGTGCCAGACAGGCCGCAGTGAAAAGAACGCCGCAGTGCAGTGGAAATAACATGGCGTAACACGTGCACCGCAGCTGTTAATGACTCTTTTTAAATGAAGATTTTATGTCACCTCTATGCATCTCCATTACACGCAGAACCTATCCGGGGTGAAGAGCATGATGGAAATATACTGTTACTTCATGTGGTATGATTAATTGATATTAATAAAATAAAAACTGTAAAAGTATTTAATAGTCTAATAATTGTAGATCTGTCCTTTTCGAATACACCGCATCCGAACTGATGCAAATTTTGCCCTCGCGACGTACCTCCAGACCTAGCGCAAGCAGCACAGTCAACTGTTACACTACCCATACAGCACAGAAGTTGCAGCAATATTGCTGCAACATTGTTCCAAGGTTACAGCAATATTGCTGCAACATTGTTCCAAGGTTACAGCAATATTGCTGCAACATTGTTCCAAGGTTACAGCAATATTGCTGCAACATTGTTCCAAGGTTACAGCAATATTGCTGCAACGTTGCTGCAACATTGTTCCAAGGTCACAGCAATGTTGCTCCAAGATTGCGGCAATATTTCTGCAACATTGTTCCAACGTTGCAGCAACGTTTTTTCAACTGTGCGCGCTGTACGGGCAAGTTCCGCTGCACTGGTGGAAAGAACAGCAGCATCTGACTGAGTCACTTCTGCTCGGAAGAACGCTTCAGTGCGCACTTCTCGAGCAAGTACAGAGAGTTCATCTCGAGAGAACAAACCGCAAGTCTTACAGCGAGTGCGTCGATTCTCCGAGACGGAAAGTCCCGGCGACGCGGACGTCGTCCTCGGACTCGCACCGCGAGATCCTTCCGATCTCGACACGACGAGGCGTACCCGCGTTGTACACATATATACACACACACACACACACACACACGCACACACACACACACACACACACACACCGTTTAGAATATTAAATTATATTTTTATTATATTCATAAAAATTAAAATATACACACCTTATTGTTTAAGTCATACTTGTATCAGCTTCTATGCATGTATCGTGGTATGTATATATTATTTAACAATAGAGATATAGGTACTCCTTCGAGAGACACGAAATGAGCCTTATGAAATGAATATACGACTTTCCGTAGATGTGGACGGGGTTCCGGAGGGGGGCGGGGAGGAGGAGGAGGGGAAAGAAGAGAGGAAAGGAGACGGGGGAGTTCGGGGCGATACACGGTGTTTCTTTTTTTTTTCCTTTTATAACTTACTTCGGTAGATATTAATATTATTGACTGCTTATAAAATAATACTATTACACAGTATAATCATCCCTTGATCTTTTTACGACACAGTTCTAGAGTGTATTTCGTTAATAATAATTAGCTCTTAGACGGCCTACGAGATCGAAAAAGTACAATCTTGCTTCTTCCGCGGCAAAGGATGGTAATCGCGTTAAGAATGCCTACGTCAGCTACAAAAAGGATGAATAGCTTTTTCACTCGAAGAAATTACATGGAATATACTCGCTAGTTACATCTTCTTTATATCCCCTTCGTATCGTTTTATTTATCTTCTGACGTGGCGCTAAAGCACGGCATACCACTAGTGCGTCGTGTGTATGCGTGTGTGTGTGTGTGTGTGTGAGAGTGTGTCTTTCTGTGTGCATCAACGTATGACACGTGAGAAAAGCGCGCAGTGATGCACTGAAGAAATCGCGCGAAGAAGTCGGTCGGAAGCGATCCGGGCGCTGCTTCTAGCCGAGCGTGAAGGAGGCAAAGGAAACGCGGCCTCGGGAGATGCGCGAGATCCATCCGGCAATTCGCTCGTTATATCGGCTCGAGAACATTCATCATCCATTTCGCGAACAGACAGACCGCGGAAATCCCGAAGTTAACGAATGCGGCGCAAATGAACTCGCGTGCGTTGTCCTTCAGCTCACCGTGTCAAAGTGCGCGCGAAGACGTTCGGGGGGACAAAAGAGAACTCTGGAGAAGAGAGTGTATCGTTTTTGCGTGTGTCTCTATGTGTGTGTGTGTGTGTCAAGATGGGTCGCGATCACGGTATTCCGTATACGAACATTCAGAGAAGTAGCCACGAAGAAATCACGCGAAGCATCGTGCCGGAGAATACACGGAAAATACTAGCACCAGTGCGCTAAAGTACTCGCTAGTTCTCGACTGCTATCTCTCTCTCTCTCTCTCTCTCTTTATGTACTCTAAATATCGAAATTTGGATCGTGTCGAATCAACAACGCGACTTCGTCCCCGTACGCGAAGTGAACGCCTTCGTACATCTTACTAATTTTTTACACATGGCCGCTTCTCGCTGCGCTCACAGTTGTATCTCCTCGTCGACGATCGCTCGGACATGCCGGGATTTCGCGCGGATGCTCTTCGTTCGAGATTGATACGCGTTTCCGCGACGAAACGAGCGCTTCCTTCGCGACCGATCGCGCATCGCGAGAATCCTCGCGCGGAAAAGCTTCCTGTGAGCCGGAAGTGAGCCTTCGCGATCGTTTACGGCTGTGATCGAGAACGATCTCTCCCCTTTTTTTTTCTTTACATCGCGAATTACTTCTTCGAAATGTAATGGCAGGGTGCTACATACATAGGGTATGCCGGAAAGATTGGCGCCCCGGATTAACCTGAAAGGATGACGTTCCTTGACGTTCTTGAAAGAAAAATGTTAAAGTTATAAAATACAAAAGTTTTAGAATTCGGACATGGGCATCTAGTGGTGAGCTTGAACTTGACCTGGGAATCAAATTTAGAGGTCAAATCAAGGTCAACTCTCAAATCGTAAGTGGAAACCCCATTTTTTATTCCGCCATCTTTTTCTACGATTAATTAATTTTGACGACTTTGGTCCGAAACATTTTTCTATTTGCCCGATATTTTTTGAGATAACAGCGTATTTTTGAGACCAAACAGAATAAAAATTTGATCCTTAGGTCAAAGTTCAAGTTCGCCATTAAGATGCCCATTTCCAAACCCTAAACCTTTATATTTAACATTTTTCTCAGAAATCCCTCGACGTCCCTTCGAATTAATCCGGGACATCCGTCTTTCTGGTACACCCTGTATACATATACATACATACATGCATATACGGAGTGTATAAAAAGTACCGGGACGGCGAAATATCTCAAAAACTAAGCATTTTAGAGAAAAATGTTTCAGAAAAAAGTTGCTTGGTTTCAAGGGGGACGTAAGACAACTGTATCATTTTGTTTATGGATGGCGCCACTTTCGAGATATGCACTGATCATTACTTTTCTTAAACGGAAGTCCCATTTTTTTGTCAGATTATCTTCTACCAATTATTTTCAACAACTTTTGTCTGAGACATTTTTTTATTTGCCTAACATTTTTTGCGATATTTAAGGAAAACTTGATAACTCTTTTAACTTACGATATCTTACTAACTATTTGCCAAAAGGAGAAATAGTACTAGACTTTTTTACTCTATTTGGTTTCAAGAATATATTGTTACAGTAGTGCTCTAACTTTTGTTAACTCATTGACTTTTGGAAATTTCAAAATCATCAAGTTAACGAAAATCAGGGCGCTGTTGTGACAATTATTATTCTCGAGACCAAATAGAGTAAAAAAGTCTAGTACTATTTTTCCTTCCGATAAATAGTTATGCATTAGCGAGATATCGTAAGTTAAATATTGAAAAAGTTATCAAGTTTTTCTTAAATATATTCAATCAAGTTTTAGTTTATATCAAGTTCTTCTTAAAAAATATTAAGCAGACAAAAAGATATTGCCGACAAAGGTCGTTCAAATTAACTTGTAAAAAAAGATGATAAAAAATGGGGGTTTCCATTGAAGAAAAGTAACGAAAGACGAGCGAATATCTCGAAAATGATACCGTCTGTAAACAAAATGATATAGTCGCTTTACGTCCCCGTCATACAACTTTTATTTTCGAGATATTTCGCCGTCCCGGGGTGCTTTTCGCACACTTTGTACATAATAATATACAAATATATACGTCTGTATGTATATGCATAACGATACTGCCCTTCGTTATATTATACAATGAATCGTGAAATTAACCGAAGACTCGTCGAGAAATCCGCTAACTAACGCGCTAACTAATGCGTGTGCAATGAAAACGATATGCAAATGCGGACTGTACGTTCCCACGTTGCGTTGAAACGAGACTCGGGGTGTGTGTATGCATGTGTGTGTGTGTGTGTGTGTGTGTGTGAGGTGTAACGAGTTACAGAGCGACGTAATAACCACACACGTGAAGACGCTACGAAAGCTTGTCGATTGTACAACGAAATAAGTGACAAGTCACACGAATCGGCATTTACGACACTGACAGTCAACATCCTACATTTCTGTATAGTTCGGAGTTTCGTAATAAGCACTCCGCCCCCGAGTGCGCGCGTCGCCGTGAATACGAGCCGGCTAGATATCTTCATTTCTTTTTTATTACTTTTTTTTTTCGTCTTTAATCACACAATGCAAAAATAGGCTTTCCTATTTCCGGTTATCTAACAACCAGATCAAACGACACAGCATCCTATCGATCTACAAAGAATTCCCGAAATCCTTATCATCTAGTATCAACTGTGTTATCATCGTCCTGTATTTTCTTTTCTTTTCTTTCTTTTTTTCCGGCAGAAGAAGCTCTACACTTACAGCGTAGAATCGCCGATCGACTGAAACTATCCACGTCGTCCCTTTCTCTCTCTCTCTCTCTCTCTCTCTCTCTCTCTCCCTCTCCGTCTCTCCCGTCGCTTTCATCTCGCGGCCCGGCTCCCGCTCTTCGCGAGCATCGTCGGCGAAGTAGACAGAGGCAGTCTCGATCCGGCGATTCCGAGATTTAAGCTAGTTCATCCAGTTGATCCACGCGCTGTCGCGCAACGCTGATGACCCCTTCGGGGTCAGAAGCGTGTGCCCGCATCGAGCCTCGAAATGTAGAAGTGAACGGATATTGCGATCTACTTTCGGGATGCTCCGACGAGAAGCGAACCCTCTACGGCCCTAATTCGCCCTCCTCCCACTGTCGCTTTCGTTGTCGGCTGGAGGGAGAGCGGCCTCGTCCGTAGAGGGCTGCGAGGTACTGAGGGGGTCAGCGTGGACCAAGCGGACTCGGCACGAACGTGGCGAACGTCTCTAGCACGAGTGGGTTCCTCTAGTTTCAAGCGGCGAGAATGTGAGTGTATGTGTGTGTGTGTATGCGTGCGTGTATGTGACGGCCGTGTGTGTGTCTTCCCGGCACGGTCCTCTACTTAATTACACCAAGTTGAACGCGTGAGTTACCATGAGATTGCCTATCGGTATATGTATAGTGCCGTCGTCGTGGTGAATGTTATCCTGTTGTCTCCACTTAGCATGGCTAGAATAAATGAGGAGGAGACAGGCGAGGCGCGCGGGTGCGTACCCGCGCACCTCGCCGCTGATTTTTTTTTCTTACACTGTGTTTTTCTTACGCTGTGTCGATTGGCCGCGCGAGCGCGAGTTGGCGCGTCTCGTCGCGCCTTTTTTCTATCTTTTTTTTTTTTCGCTCTTAGCTTCCCTCGCACGCACACTTTTGTCCGTTGCTTCTTCTCGTTATGGCGCTCTCCTTCTCTCTCTCTCTCTCTCTCTCTCTCTCGCTCGCTCGCTCGCTCTTCTTTTTTATACATTACATTAAAATATAACACCAATCTCGAGGCTTACGTTGTACATGTACATGTGTTGGTTTTACATTAAGTATGATCGTTCGAACAGTCTCGCCGTGGAAATGTGGCTCAGAGGACTCCCGACTTCGGCGTCACGCTCTCGCGCTCTCGCGCATTCTTGTCCAGTATAATTGACGACATCGAAGCGCGGCCGCTGGTGAGGAATCAAGCGGTCGATAAGACACGTCGAGGAGCGGACCGCCGGAGGGACGAGACGCGACGACAGCTTTGTGCTCACCGCGGCCTTGGAGCCGCAGACTTTGTGCACACCTTGTCCCCCGTTGCGCAATGTGACGTATGTGTGTGTGTGTGTGTGTGTGTATATATAATACAAAGTTGCCAAGGTGAGACCGGACAGAAGAGCGTTTCGAGGGTGGCTTTCGGTGTCCAGACGGGGCCGGGGCGGGGGTGTGACGTGTTGGTGTGTGAGATCGCAGGACGCGTGCGTGATTGCTTCCCTCCTCTTCGGGAAGGCGGCCGTCCTCGCTGGTCTTACCGACGCGACCCTGACGTTGACCTCGTACGTGTGCTTTGTCCGACCCGGCTCTCGCTGAGCCGCGGCCGGACGACGACGAGGGTCGGCCTCGGTGGCGCGCGAGGACAGAAACGAGGGGAGCAGCGTGAGAACAGCAAAACATCGGTTTCACAGCCATTAGTTTAGGATACTCGATCGAAATGATGGACCCGTGCGACTTGTTTGGAACTTAGACCGTGGCGCGTTGCGCGGTCGCGACGGTGACGCCGAATTCGGGGGAGGCCCTCCGGAGACCCTCGTAAAACCGATTGGTCGAAAATATTACTCTAGAATCGTCCACAGGGTACAAAGTATAGAGTGCGAACGGTTATATCTTTAGACAATTGTAACACGGTAAAAATGGACATTGTCTTATTGCGGGATGGAATAGGCTGTGTAAGCTCTGCCAATGCTAAATGCTCCGCGCTGCAGCTTGTCGAACGACGTCTCTCCCGATAACACAACGACCACCTCCTCGTCAACCCTTTGTAAGGCCGTCGCGAGCCCGGCGCAGAATACGTCGAGGGAGTTCCAGCTCTCGCAATGCTTAATCTCTCTGGAGTTTGCCGCTCCGTCAAGTTTCCCGCTGCGGCTTTCCGGGGACCAAGCGACGTTCGCAAATGGCGCGCCTTATAAAGGGTTGCTGGGCGGAAACATAATCCAGTACTCGATTGTAAGAGCTGAGGGCGCGCAGGACGGAAGTCGTGTACGACGACGCCGTCTTCCGGCCGAGCCTTCTCGCCTGGAGAGCAAGCCGCGACTCGGCCGGGCTGGTCCACAGACTTCTCATATTATACACCAGACCGGTAACTCTGCTCTCTTTAACGCGTCCCCTAAAAGTATGTACTAAAATTTCGCGCATGCGCATTGCAAGGTCCCGTGAAAGGAATGCGAACTTGTACAGGCGTTTTTACTCCGGAGAATGTTAATATTTATCCAATATTTAATATCCCCTCTTGCAATGTCACGTTCAACAACACACATTCAGGGCCGGTTGTTTCAACGTCTTGGTGAGTTAACTGGCAGTTAAATCATACGTCCGTCTTTGTCCAAATTGAAGGAGAGACAGAGACATAAACATATGATTTATTTAACCATCAGTTAGCTCAACAAGAAGTGCGCATGATTTTATTCTTTACACATAAGACTTCTATATTATATACACTAGACTGACAATTTGTCTCTTTAACACACAGACTTCTATATAATACACTAGACTGCTAACTCCTATTGTTCTCCTTATGTATATAAATGTTGCCTATGTACATGTAATGCGCGGAGCAGATGCGCAAAATACGGACGCGATCCTAATTCCTTTCGAAGTGACACACGTATATGTAATCGCCGTTGCAACAAGACGTGCCCGAATGTGATACACGTTTTTAATATCAGTTATAATAAGTTAAGAAAAAAATACGTATCGCGAAAAATAATATTGGTAAAATTACGGTAAGTAATAAAATACTCGTGTGTGTGTGCGTGTGATCGTGAAAAATACATATATGGTATGTCAAATTATAAAATTTTGTTATTAAATTTTTATATAAATTGTAAATAAATACTCACAGAAAAACACGCCGAAACGGTAACGCGCCTACAGAAGTATATAAAACTGTTTACTGCGCATCCCCTTAGTTCGTATTCTGCGCAAGTCGCACACACTTTTTGGCAACAGTGAAAGGGACGCAGTTAGCAGTCTAGCGTATTATATGAAAGTCTGTGCTTTAACACGTCCCCTAAAAGTATGTACTAAAATCCTGCGCATGCGCATCGCAAGGTCCCGAAAGGAATATTACCGCACCGTACAGACATTTTTACTCCGGTTAAAATGTTAATATTTGTCCAATATTTGACATTTCCTCTTGCAATGTCACATTCAATGTTCACATAGATATTAAATATTGGATAAATATTAACATTTCCCGGAGTAAAAATGTCTGTACGATGCAGTTATGTTCCTTTCGGGACCTCGCAATGCGCATGCGCGCACGATTCTATGCTTTACACAAGAGACGCTTTTGCACCATGAAAACCAATGAAAGTTCTTAGTCTAGCTTATGTATATATAGAAGTCTGTGCTTTTACATAAGGGTTACTTTTATACATGAAAACCAATGGAACTTCTCAGCCTAGCTTGTACATGGAAGTCTGTGGGCTGGTCGTACGCGAGCCTCGGCGCGCCATCTCGAAACGTCGAAAGGAATGCGAATGCCGATCGTATTGTACTAACGCGAGAACCGACTGGGAGGGAACCGCGGTGTTCGAAACAAAGAGATTTATTAATTGTCGTATGTGTATGCCGGGCAGGCATGTAGCATCGCCGTGACACGTGTGTGAGTCTTTAGTTTTGCGTTTCTTCCCCTCAACAATCTCGATTATACCAAAAATGGACAGATGCCGCTGTGGCCGCGGCGACGTTTCCTCCTCGCGGGGGGATAATTTTCGTTTACGTACAGAAAACCGAGGGCGGGGCGGGGGGGCGACCGGGGAGTGTCGGCCGCGACGAGGGAACGTCGCGCGCGCTGCGCGCGTATAGCGATTATTAGTATATTCAATAAATATTACATACAGTAATATATACTCATTATATTGATAATATAAGTATTGTTCTAATTGGACAGGAGTTGTTTTCTTCACAATTTTGGGCGAATGTACGAGTAACCTTAGCTGTTAATTAGTGTGTGTATTCCTTCGGTTTCTTTTTTTTTTTATCTTTTTTATTCCTTTCCTCCTCATCTTTTTTTGTCTCACGTTCTTACACCACGCCAATCTATCCCGTGTGAATCAAGAGAAAAATAGAAGAATATTCTCGTCGTTTGATTTCGCGCAGGTTGGTGTGTTCAAGTGGTGGTGGTCTCCGAGACGAAGCGAGTGAAACAATCGGTATATCGTTAATATAATGAGCAAATCGCGCTAAAAGATATGAAATGTACACATATATATATATATATATTATATATATATATATAAATTGATTTGCTAATCTCCGTGCCGCCCACGAAAGGTGATACAACATCGGCAACCCAAATGTTTATCAAAAGACTGGATAAATACGGTTATGCGGTCGATACAACGAAGCAAGCTTATTTTATGTAGCTTCTCTACTACCTAAATCTATAAACCTAGTATTGCGAACCTCAGTGGACATTGTTGACCGTTGAGCTCGCAACTTGCTCCTCGAATCGACCAGCCGCCGTCAGAGGAGCAACTTGCGACTCTCGGAGATGCTACGTACGCGTCTAGACTGCCGTATATATAAATTAAACCGCGTGTCATGTTCGCGTGACATAATAAAATAACTGTGACAGAAGGCTTTATAATACAATAAGGAACTTAACAGATTGCGCTAAAAAAATACAATATATGAAACAATTGTATGCACATACATATACATATACATATATATATATATATATATAAGAGTCTTTAACCTTTTCGCTAGCGCGCGTCGCCATAGCGGAGGAAGCTCCCGTTGGAGGAAGGTCTTCCTGCAACGAGTCGCCGCCACTGCGGCGGCTCTCCCTCGCAACTTGCACGGAGAGTCGATGGACAGCTCGCGATCGTCGAGCAGCGGACTTTCTCGCGACGCAAATAAAAAGTTTAATTCAATTTATCGGAGCTATTTGTGTTCACGCGGACGCGACAAATCAATCAGACAGACGTCGGTCGCGCTGCTGCTGCCCTCCAGTGTCCGTCACGCGCGTTCAGCGGCGGCGAAACTGTGCGTACAGCGAAGCAGCTCCGCCGCCAGTCCGGCCGCAGCGAAAAGGTTAAACGGTGTACAAACACAACGCGGTGAAATATGCGTGTGAAACGTTTCGAAAACATTATGCAGGCTCGATGCATTCCATTGGGCACTTTACCGGCGGCGTAAATTACCGTGTCGGTAATTTCGGAAAGTGTTACGTCCGATGTGTGACGGTGACGCCAATGTTCAGCCGATTGATCGCGCCAACGCGGATAGAACGTGTCAGTAAATGCAAGTTACATGGAATATACATGTACGATAATGCGTGTATATATATGTATATATGCGTCAAATTATCATCGCCGTGCCCCTCCCAGGGCGGACACGCCGAGGGTGAGGCAGGCGGAAGAAAGAAGGAAAGTGCTCGTGCGCTGACTTTTGATTCGCTTGAGAAATGTACAATTAAGATCGCAGGGCGTGCCCTCTCCGCGAAACACAGATTGCTCGTGATGAGACCAGTCGTTGAAGTAAAATTATGGAATGCATGTCGGAAATCAATCGATATGCGTCGCGCGAGCGACATTCGATACACACACAGCGCGGCGACTCGCTACCCCGGAGTAGCGAAGTAGATACACCGCTCACACAGCATGAATCCGAGTCGAGAACATCCCACGCTTCGTGTGGTACACACATTAATGACCTAATATCTCAAGTATTACTTTGTAATAATTAATAATCGATAGCTGCCCTAATGTCTAAAGGACTGAAACATTGCTGCTACACATATCATAGGCATGTAGCAATTAGGATATTATGTAGTAGCTTTTCTTTCCTTATTACCACGAAGTAATGGTGAAGCAGTGTGTATGTCTCTCTCTCTCTCTCTCTCTTTCTCTCTCTCTCTCTCTCTCTCTCTCTCTCTCTCTCTCTCTCTCTTTCTTTGTGTGTACTCTTGTGTATGTGTGTGATCCATTTACTTGCCGCGTGGAAAAGAACGTGTACCTGTTGTAGAGAGGCCCTCCCCTCGGCTGCGACTTCGGTGCAAGGAATGTAACCCTTCGCCTGAAAGACGAAGACACTTGAAGAGTGACGCGCTCGCGAGCGAACTCGGCGAGTTAATCGATCGGGAAGGGGGGTTACCCTTGCTAACGCTCCTGCGCATAGGCGCGGATGGTGCTGGCGCAGTCTCCTGCTTCGCGTAGATCCTGAGCGCTCTTCCGATTCGTCTGTCTTGTATCAGCTTGTCCACCTTGACGAATATGCCGCATTTTGACCGGCACGTGAAGTACCTGTGACCGTTAACAGCACCATCGTTCTTGCCTGCAACGGTAAGTGCAGAATGGTAAGTGTAGAACGGGTGTGACCTGAATGAAGCTCGAAAGCGGTCAAGAAGATCAAGTCTGAGAGATTCTCGTTCATACCAGTTGGAGCGTCAAGTTCGATCCCTATCCAGGTGCCGGATGCGAATTCTGTGGTGCCGATATACGCTATGACCCCGGAATAATTGTAAGGACGAACCAAAACGGATTCACCGATGACGACCCACGCCGGTAAAGGTGTTTCCACTCGTGTCAAGTCGTGCCTCGAACCGAAAGCCGAACTTTTATCGCTGACGTCGTCTGCTGCAAAATACGGGAAATCCTTTTTTTCAAAGCCGAAAATTACAGATATACAGGATGTCCGGGATCGTTTGGAGACGAAAAATTGTAGAGATTAATCAGATTGAACCGAGAAGAAAGGTCGAGTACCATTTTGCAAATAAGTATGCAAATTTTCAAGTTATCAATATTAAAAGAGCTTCTAGATGTGGTAATTTTCTATCATTGATAACTTAATAACTATTGCGATTTTTCCAAAATGGTATTTGACTTTTCTTCTCAGTTTCATCTCATTAATTTTCACAATTTTTCATTCCCAAAAAATCCCGGACACCTTGTATATTGTGCTTTTATATTTTATATTTTACATTTACACAGAGCGTACCAGAAAGTTGGATTAACTTGAAGAGATAACTTGATGAGATTTTTGAAAAAAATGTTAAATACAAAAGTTTTTAAGGTTTGGGCATCTAGTGGTGAGCTTGAACTTGGACGTCGGAAGAAAAAGAGGTACTAGACTACTTTTTTACTCAATTTGGTCTCAAGAATATGTTGTTACAATAGAGCCCCAGCTTTTATTAATTTGGCAATTTGTAAATTTTCAAAACCTTGTGTTTAACATTTTTTTTTTCTCCAAAATGTCTCCAAACCCTTTCAGGTTAATTCAGGATACCCATCTTTCTGGCACACCCTGTATTTTGCGTGCAAATTAGATAAAAAGTAACAGCAGTGACTAGTAATGATTAACCGCTGATACTAATCAGTCACGCGAGCGTACCGTCGATTCTCTCCGAAGAACTATTGTCGCCGTTTTCATATGGCATACTAGGTTGTAGCGTTTGCTCCAAACGTGCTGCAGCCTTACTCTCAGAAAGTTGTGGACGGACCATAGGAAACGAAGCTCTATGCTGCGAACTGGTAGGCCTTCCTGTACCACTAGAAGTCTTTCTTCTTCGCACGACCTAGGGAAGATGGCAACACAAACTGTCAACACCAGAACTATCAAGCGGTAAAAAAATGAGCGACTCGTGATTTCCTATGAAAGAATTTTACTCAGATCTAATAAAAATTTCTTATAAAGATTACTTAAAGAACGATGCATTTTACATTCTTATTAGACGTTGAACGAAAACCAAAGAGGAATAAATCAACATCTTTCCAAGAACCTGTCATTTCGACCACTCCGGCAAAAACAAATCGTCCATCAATAGTCGGTTTGTGATTTGTTATAAAAAAAATTGCTCAAATTTGATAAAGAAATAAAAATTATTCAAATGACGTACTTTGTATTTTTAATGAATAAAAGAGAATGCGAGCTCTCAATATAATTGTCGTTTTAAAATTACTCAAGTCACGACGCACTTTAAATTTTTAATGAACGTTGAATATAATACCGAAAGAAATAGATCAACACTTTTACCCTTTCCGATAAAGTATCTCTTCAAGGACCAAAGTGATACTCGCCTTGCCAGGTGGCAGTTTGGTGTGTACGACGGAGGTTCCTTCCATAGGACTGTCGTCCCCGGAATTGGACGTCTGGCTGATCTCCATTTCGCTTTTCCGTCTGTCGTCGAGAATCTGGTCGTGTGCGCCTTTCCTTTGTGTCTCGACGTGGTGGGTCGCGCTGCTGCTGTTGGTGTCGCTCTCGCTCTTCGTGGAGGAAATCGGGCTGTCGATGTCAGTGTCCATGTACGCCCCTGTCTCCTCCAGATTTTTCCTACTGTGTTCTGTAAAGGCGGAAAGAGTTACGCTTTTTGCAACGGCCACACTTATCTATCAACGTTCCGCGCGACTGACCCTCTATGCAAACGTTCGGCGAGACGTTCAAGTTGTCCAGCGCGGCGTTCACTTCTCCCAGGTACTCCTCGGGCGTCTCCTCGACGAGGGAGCTGTCCATCTTCTCGGCCTTCTTGCTGTCGAGGAGGTTGCGGCACTCCAAGTCCGGAGTCTCGTCCACGCTGATGGACTTTATAGAGATGGAGTCCTCCGACGTGAGGTTCGTGGTGGACACGGCCTGAGAGCCGTAACCGCTGCTGCTCATACTAGGCGTGTTGATCTTCGTCGACTGCAGCTCGACCAGGGAATCCAGTGTGCGTGAAGAGGGTAGCGGTTTCACCGGCTTCGGTGGAGCCTGGCCGTGCAATCACACACACACACACACACACAGTCACACATAACTCTGACTCAACAGTGCGTGATAAAACTAGACAATCATCGTGGGATGTTGAACTTGAATCGACCGGCGGTAGAGAAGAAGAAAGAGGAACGAGATCTTTAGCCTTGACCTTGTCTTTGTCTGGTCAGACTGAAGCGTATACGCTACCTGATATGAGTCATATTCAGAATAGTCCGCGTCGCTCTTCTCCTCGTCGTCGTCGTTGATGGGAGTGGATGCTTGATTACCCACGTTCGACGTTTCCTCGTGCAACGTGGTCATGCGAAGCCCCAGCTTGCTACCGACCATGTTCGGAGATGCTACAACCAGCACAGTTTTATCAGTGACATGCAACAGGCGATCCTTCTTCAACGATACAAGCACATGTGTGTGTGTGTGTGTGTGTGTGTGTGTGTGTGTGTGTGAGTGTGTGTGTACTGTCGGACACATCAGGGCCGATCTGGCCGCTTCGTGGCGCAACTTTGCCTTGCCGTTACTTCTGCAGAGCAGTTAACTCACGTCACACGGTATTGCACTCTTACTTTAAGACAGACATTGACGACTGCTGATGGGTTGTTTATGAGTCACAAGAATGTTATATATTATATTGAGAGGTGCCAGGTCGGTTCTGATATAACACAAAGGTTCTCCCATGCTCTCTTCCTAAGAAACAAAAGTAAAACGGTCTCACGTATTCCACGTTAATTCGCTCTTGGTCGATCCACTGTGTGGATTTAGCATCTGTCGACTTCATGGGCGGCTTGCGCGCCCGTCGAAAAACATGGAGTACGTGCGGCGAAACAAAGAGATAAACTGTGATGGTCAAGAAGAACTGGAAGCGACAGACATTCAACACGTATAAGCACTACTCACTGCACCAGGAGTGCAGCAATAGCGTCTTAACGGTAAGAAGTTGTGTGGTAACAAACTATATATTTGAAACACGTGAAACAAAAGAAGAAAACCCAATCACTATACTGTCAAATGTACTACACTAGTATCTAGTGATCGAAACGGAACAGAAAGAAAAGTACACTACGAGAATTACGGAAATCACCCTTTCAAACTAGCAAACGACTTGTCAAGGTGCTCTTGGAGCTTGGAGGTGCTCTTATTCGCTCGGCACTCTCTCGAGCATGCTCTCGATCAACATGGTCGCAGGGGGTGCGACTACTCTCTCCGAGTCTCAGTTTGAAAGGGTGACCGACAACGAGTGTCACCTACACTTGGCAGAGGTAGATTGTTGAAGACGAGTCAATGAGTTGAGATTCAGGTTGAGATTCAGGAAAGTTGGTCTCGCTGAAAGGAGATAGATGCACTGATTATACTTCTTTTCCTCCCCCGCGTACTGGTAAACGCTTTCTACTACCCCCGTAATGGCGAGCTTCGCATTGAGCTTTACAGACCTTCTCTCGTGTACAATATACGGACCCGTATATACCGTGACAAATCATGCCTGCAGGCTACAGACACCGGAGACAGTGAGACGAGTGGTGGACAGACAACGTTCATTATGCGCATTCTAATGGACAAGTCCCATCGAGTGTGTACGTCACATATCGCAATCCCATTCATCGAGAAACATTGAGACGCCGCGGCGTTTCGCTCGCTCGCGCGAGCTTCGTGGACTTTGCTCTCATCGCCACTTCACCGTTACCCGCGCATCGCGGCCAACTCTATGTCCCAACAACTCGCCATTGTACTCGCGCTAGTCCGCAATGCACGTGTTCGAAGCATGTCGTACCGCAGCAGTCGTGACGGCAAACGCAGCGACAGAGGGGGGGACCACACAATTCGACGACGTGCATCAGCGTGAGTTTCGGAAGACAGACTCCCGCGGAGATGATTAGCTTAAAGTCGGAGGTGCTGACGTGCTGGCTAACCCCTGGGCTTCGTCCTCCAGCATATTTTTACTACGCGTCGTGCTATGTTAATTAACCGCACATGCGCTGCGCTATATTTAAATGGCAACACCATGCATGACCAAGCTGGCTCGATCTGTCTTGTTCTTGTTTTTTTTTCTTTTGCTTTTTTGCTCTTGTTCTCGTCCACGGTTGTTCTTGTACTCGTAGGAACGCAACCCTGACTTTAAACTACGTCTCCTTTTTTCCGAGCGAGAAAGATGAGGGGGAGGGGTCATGACCTTCGCGTGTTTCATCATCGCGTAAATTGCATCGAGAACGTCAAATATTCGCCGCTCCTCCCCCTCCATTTTTCTCCTTCACCTCCGAGGTCTGTTCTGTCCCTTCGTCTCGACATTTGTTGCGTACAAAATAATGAGAATAAAATCGATAGGGTTGGGAAAGTTACTTCGTAAAAGTATCTAGTTACATTTACAATTTTCCTCGCTGAAAAAGTAACTAGTTACAGTTATAAGTTACTGACTTTCAAGATTAACATGTTACAGTTATTTAGAAAGTAACGAGTCGTTACTTTTCAGTTACTTTTTTACAATAATTGTGCTGGTATTTTAAATTTCGTAATTGCGTAAATTCCTTCAATTTCGTATAAGAGTGATTTGTTGATTATTATATTCCTCATGTTGTATTGTAATTTTTACAAATTAGATTCATCAATTTAAATAAGCAATTCATATTTATTTTTTACGACTATTAACAACAATTATAAGAAAGTGATTGAATTTGATGAGGATAATAAATACTAAAAATACTAAAAAAAAGTAATCTTAACATTAAAAATTAGATTTTTTCATTAAAAAACATATTGATATTTTATAAATAAAGACTTGCAGTCATATGTTTTCTTAAATTTGCAGTTGAAGTTCTACTTGCATGAATAATTTTTTGCTAGCGCATGTTTTGCCGAGAAATGCCCAGTTGTTCTTATTTCCAAATTTTTACTGTAACTCGAATATTTCTGCATATGCCGGTCATGGCATTTTACAATCCTTCTCCGAAGATTGAGATGTTTTATCCATTGCTTAAATTTTTTATATAACCGAAACCACGCAGCGCACTTCTGAACGCACTTTGTGTTAACAAATAAGGACTGGCGACGCGCGACGGAAATATCCAATAGGCGTACAATTTTTTTGTAAGAAATACAGGTTGCATTCGGAGAGGAGACTATCAGTGGCGTCACTTTATCCTTGTTTTACATCTAATGAACGATAAAGATAGATGACGCAATAGCGCGTTTTCCAAATGTAGCCAGAATAACTGTATGCTTATCGGATATCAAGCATCGCACATCGCATCATCGTGCTGGTCTGCCAGAAACTTAAGTTTGAAATATATAAAGTAACTATTAAAGTAACTACCAAATTAGTTACTAGTTATCAAACAAATGTAACTGAGCTAAGTTACAGTTATAGATGGAAAAAAGGAACGAAGTCAAGTTATAGTTACCAAAAAAAAAAAAAAATAAAGAAAAAAATAACTGTAACTGTAACTTCGTTACAAGTAACGAGTTACTTCCCAACCCTGAAAATCGATCAGTCACGACCACGACGATGGATCCGGAAACGGGCGTCGAGTCGAGCCGTTTCGGACAGAACAAGCCTCGCCTAACGTATCAACTATGAAAAATATTTATTTACACATATATGTTACAATAAATTCTCTACTCTCTGTCTAGAGTGTTGCCTGATAGCACACATTCACAAGAATACACAAGGAAGACTGAAGCATCGCGCGACCCGCGCGCGATGGCTCAACCTTCGATTGTGGTTTGCGTACTTTCACGTTAATTTGCCGAACGTGGCGAGATCGTCGTACGCTCGGCAAATCACTCGGGGATATCATTATAGAAATCATCTCGGTCCGGAGCAGCCATGAGGAGGCGCCATCGATAAAGATTTTGAGAGAGATATCATACGAGTCGAGTCACACGAATCATGAAAACAGGTATATGGAAATGACAATGATTTCTATGCGATGAGATCTTTGATACAAACGGTGCGACGAGGACGAGGGTATATATATAGAGAGATATATAAATATACTTGTAGCACGATCACTCGCCGGTTACATTACTTACACGTTAGCCGTGAGACAGTAACATATCAAATCAGTCACATAAAGTGGTAAAAGTAAAGTAAGAAGAAGAAACAGCAATTCAATGAACGGGCTTGCCGATGTGCCAGGCACACAAGAAATGCATTCACATGCAAACTAAACCGCAAAATCACTGAACCGTTAACGTTCGCGCAACGAAACTCGCATTCGAATTCAAACCAAGGAGGTCAGCAATCACACACTAAATCATCTTCCTGCTTTCGGCGGGACGGTGATGCGCTAAGAGTCTCTCTTGAGCCAAACTCAATTGAACAAATGATGCTCGCGAAAACATATATGGATATATATATATATATATATATATATATATATATATATATCGACCATCCGTCAAAACGCATTCCCGTTCTGAACATTGCTATCACAAATAATGTCTCTGATGTACTAAGGCGAACTTGGAAACAAAACGAGACAGACAGACTCAACCACTCACGAGACATATGTACTAATTGTCATTGCCTGTGTGGCATCAATTAAATATCAAATCAAGACTCCATTTTACCTGAGTTCAGAATGGAGCCTTGCGTGGGCCGAAATAGTTGTAGAAGTAGTAGACGTAGTGTTAAAACAGAGGAACAGATAAGTTGCACACATTAATTAAACGATATTCATTAATTTTGCTGTAGAGTTCATTGCTTAAGGTTCGTTAGTGTTGTTATTTATATTGTAATAAGTGGTGGAGCTTAAATGTAGCTGGCTAAAACACTAGGCAGATTTGAAAAAAATGACCTCTCTCTCTCTCTCTCTCTCTTTCTTTCTTTTCTTTTTTCCTTTTCTTTACCATGCTCAACTCTCTTCGTATCTAAGCGGAAAGCCACGTTAACTCGTGGCGATTTTTCGACACATCAGCGGGGAACACGTTTGCACTAAAAAAATCGTGTGGATCGTCAAGTTGAACATAGCTTGTGGTGACATGACAATATGACAGAAGCTAGAATTGTAATAATATAAAATTTCAGTGTAGTAGTAATCACTAATAATGAGACTGAAGTTAGCAAATATTTTCATATAAGTGATGAGTTTGTCGATTATCTTAGATGAAGCAGCAGTACCCTTTCATAGCGTCGTTGATCATTCGCGCACATACGCTCAAACGGTTAGTTCGTGTGCGTTTCGCAAGGTACTCGAGGATACTCGGTACCTTCATGAACTACAGCCAATAGAACAGCAATCGCAGACACACATAAAGGGTACATGCTAATGATGGATGACATGAATTTCAATTAAGAAAAAAAGAGAAAAAAGAAAAAAAAATATATATATATAGACAAAATGTTTCTCCATTGCCCAAAATCAACATGTTCTGTAACTAAAAACGGAGTGGAGCTCGAGACAATCAAAACTAGGGTGGGATGTAAAGTGACCGTCATAGCCAAAGTGAAATATCGAAAACACTGCATAAGCCACATTTCAGAAACAAACTGTTGATTTTTCGTCGGATAAATCCCGAGGAAGCAAATCAAGGCAGTGAAAAGTGTCCCAACACAAACGAAAAACTCTTGATCTAAGTACTAAAGTCCCCTAGAAACACGATGCTGTTAAATTTATGTAAGCGTTAAATTCAAGAATTTAATAGTGACTTAAGCGAACTAAATGTTGCATTCAAGAAATGATGAGTTTGCACAAGTAGTCGAAATCCAAAATAAAGTCTCGTTGAAACCCCTATCGATTTTTCTCTCGGGAGTAATCCATTTTCAAGTCTGCGAGCAAGTTTCTCTCTCTCTCTCTCTCTCTCTCTCTCTTCCGCGAGAGGCAATTGCCCTCTCTCCGGTTCTATCTCGACAATCTACAATCTTGCACTCGACGTTAAAATGGATTACCGCGAATGATTATGAATGACCGCATGAGTGAATAAATGCATATCGTCATATGGATGAACGTGGGGGCGCTCGTGTAGCATGATGTTTTCGTATTGCTTTGCAATTTTCTATGATTTCATAAACGATCTCGTTTCGGGGACGTCATAAGCCGCGAAGAGAGGCACTTCGCGTCTCTGCCTGTAACGACGACGCTGCGAATCCAATGATCCAAAGTGGACGGCACGCGGAATTAAGAAATCATAGAATGTGTCTATATCTAGGTGTCCGTCCGGACGTTAGTATTAATCCAAGTCGGAGCGAGCGGAGGGTGTTGCTTACCGATTCCAAACGGCTTCGGCGGAGCGGATATGAAGTTCTCGTCGTTCCTCGCGTGGCCAGTGGACGCGCGTCGCGGATGCGGCAGACCGTTCATCTCCGTGTTGAGATCCGTCACGCTTTCCGAGCGGGTGACGTTCAACGAGTCCATCGACGTGTCAAATCTCATGATCTGCAAGAATTCGCAAGGTCGGTTGCACAAAAATACCAGAATCGCGCGTCCGAAGTGAACAGTGCATTAAGAAGCATGCCAAGAAAAGAAATCAGATTATAGACGTTCCTCCAAGATGAAACGGCACGCCTCGGAAAGAGGCGCACAGCCAAAGGTTCATGTATGCGAGAAACAAAGAGAGAAAAAATTGATGATAAAATTGACAAAGAGAACGAACAAATTAAACGTGAGAAGCATACAGTGCAGTGAAGACGTCGAAGGGGCAGTAGTACCTGCGAGAAGTTTGGAACACTTGCGGTCTTGCGCATCAGTGGTTGACCTTGGGCTTGCAACAGTTCCTTCACGGCGACGCTCTGCCGTAATCGGTCCAACGTCAGGATGCTCTCGACGGCGGATACGCCGCGGGTGTATTTCTCTGCAGAGACGTGAAGCGCGCGATGACATCACCGACATCAAGGATCAGCCGAGGACGCGCTAGCGACTGTCGCCGCAACTCACCTATGTAAGTCTCGCCGTCGCACAAGCTGTTGTCCTCCCCGCTGGCGGCGATTTGCGCTAAACTCTCGCGGTCCTCCAGCTCCTCGCTCGCCTTCGGTATGTTCGAGACGACCTCGTAGGTGACGCCCGTCTGCGCCAAGCAGTCGGTGCGAACGATCCTCTTGAAGATTCTGTCCGTGATGCTCTGCCGCTTGTATATGTTTAAAGCTAGCCTCTTGCGCAGCACGAGGTCCATCGGCGCCGGATGCGACAAGCGGACGGTAGTCTTCAGGATGAGGAACACCCTCTCGTTCGCTGATGCACAACGTCGATGCGAGATCAGTCTCCGCGTAGGGAACGCGAAGGAGGGCGAACAACGGCGATTACTCACCATCGGTTACTCGATTCAGATGCACGTTGTCGTGTATGCTGGAGTCCCAAGCGGCGATGGCACATACATCTTTCTCCAGGTGTCGGATGATCGGCAGGTTGTAAAACTTGTTTCCGTGTTCCTTCGGTAGAATCGAGTTCAACCCCGTCACCGACACTTCCTCTCCCGACTGGTGCGTCGACAGGTCGTCGGCTGTGTCACAAAGAGTCAACCGGTTATAACGCAGACGTCGCTGAGTCGGATCAGCGATCGATATAGCGCCTATCGTGGGAACGCTTCGCGTTTCGGCCGTACCATTGAGATCGAGGAACAATACGGGGATGTGAGGCTCCATTCCCGAGGGAGGAGTCCAGTCAGCGGGAGCACCAGGAATGCCAGAACCCGCCGCGGGAACCAGAACGGCGTTCCGCTCCTCCGTGAGACTGACCCACTGGTCCACGAGACTCTGTTCTCGCTCCATGTCTTGCTCCGTTTTGTCTGCGCAGACGTGTATCACCGTTAGAACGGTATTAGACTCTGAGGGTGTTGTTCGGAGACGAAACGAGCTTGGTCTAGTCTCTCTCATAGTTTAACAATAATACAACAAGAGACTACCGACATTTGTATTCAGAGACGTTTCTTGTGATTTAGTCTTGTATCAAACTCAGCTTACATCTAAACTATCCGTAGAGGTAGCCTAAGATTGGTTTAACCTTTCAATTGCTATAAGCGTATGTATATACAGGGTGTCCCATTTTAAATGAGCCAGACAAAAATCCCGAAAAATATGAAAGATACTGAGAAACGTTTCGGACGGAGTTGCACGGTTTCAAAGGGGACATGAAACAATTATATCATTTTGTTCACAGATGGCGCCACTCTCGAGATATCCCACTGATCATTAATTTTCTTAAATGGAAAATGAATTTAAACAATTTTTGTCGGAAACATTTTTTTATTCGCCTAATATTTTTTGAGACATTTAAGGAAAACTTGGTAACTTTTTTTTAACTTACAATATCTCGCTGTTTGTCAAAAGAAAAATAGTATTAGACCTTTTCACTCTATTTAGTCTCAAGAATATATCGTTGCAATAGTGTCCTAACTTTTGTTAACTTATTGACTTTTGGAAATTTCAAAATCATCAACTTAACAAAAGTCAGGGCGCTATTGTAACAATATACTCTTGAGACCAAATAAAGTAAAAAAATTTAGCGAGATAAATATTAAAGCTAAATATTAAAAATATTTAAGTTAAATATTAAAAAAGTTATTAAGTTTTCCTCAAATATGTCAAAAAATATTTGACAAACAAAAAAAAAACGTTTCAAACAAAAGTTGCTAAAATTAATTGGTAGAAAAAGATGATATAATAAAAAATTGGAGTTTCCATTTAAGAAAAGTAATGATTGGTGAATATCCTCGAAAGTGACGCCATCTGTGAACAAAATGATGTAGTTTTATATCCTCTTTGAAACAATTTTTATCTGAAACGTTTCTCAGTATTTTTCATATTTTTCAAGATTTTTGCCTGGATTATTTAAAATGGAACACCCTCTGTACACCCATTGATATCCATTGATATCAACAAGAATCTTCTTCCACATTCTTATTTGGCCTGATTCATGTTCGCGTCCGTACATCCTTTCTCGGTAATGTTATCTCTTTTTACTAGCGAATCCGTCAGGAAACTTTTCTCCTCTGTGACCCCGTTATCCTTCCTATTTCGCTTTATTTTACTTGATGCGTCCATTGAGAATAATTTTACTGTCACAAATTAAAAAAAAGTCTCAAAATGTAGATACAAACATCAAAAGTCGCGTTTTAACAATTCCCTGGTGATTGCATTTCATTGGATACGAAGTGTCTGAAGATAAAGTTAAGACGATTAAATATAAGATCCTACTATAAAACACCACCCGAAGAGCAAGCCGGAAAGCCGGTGATCAAGTAGGCAATACCGTCGTAGTCGTAGTGCGACCACACCACGTGGAATAGCCATTACCTTGCTTATTGATGAGCTTCTGAATCTGCTGATCGAGGTACTGTCTCCTTCTCATCAAAGCGTCGCTCCACTTTTCCCTCAGTATGCTCAGGTCCTCGTCTTGATAACTATCTAACGGAATTTGCAGTCGGTTCCGCACAGACACGCTCCCAACGGCTATATTTAATATCGATTGGCAGATTATCGGTAAGGTTCCGGAATTTTGTACTGGTTTCACTCGGACTTGTATCCGACGTTGTTGGCCTTGCCGAAGCTGATAAATGCCGCCTGCCGGACGGTACAATGATCGCACGGTGAGTAACAGCCGAGAGAGGGACGTGCGAGAGAGTACACACTGTGATTATTCCCACCTGTGCATGTGTCTTGCTTCACCGCGACTTCGACGGGCGAGTACTCGCCTTGCTCGTTGAGCTCCTGTATCTCCACCCACAGTTCGATCTTCCTCGTCAACTCCGACCACCGGTCAGCGAGCGACCTGGCTTTCGCCAGCTGTTGCTGCTCCACCTCCCAGCCGGGTTTGCTGCGTGAGAAGCCGGCGCTCCGGTGGCCCCACACCTCTATGCTCAAGGCTCCTTCTGCAAGTACACGCGACGATGAATCTCGACATGTTCGGCGAGCGAGAGGCAGCGAGGGGCGGCGATATGAAATCCTCCTCACCAGCGCTGTGCTCGATGAACTCCTCCGTGATGGGCACGGTGAAGTCTTTCGTGTGATCGAACTTGAACGCCAAGGAGTCCCTCTGGCCGGTGATGCAGTTTGAGTTCGGCAACTCGGCGTTCACCACCGGCGGGACCACTATCGGTCCTGAGTGGCCCCAAAACATGTACTGGCAAAACACAAAGTGGCTCAGCGACAGCGGCAAGCCGGTGGCCTGTTTTATCGTCACGCGGCACGTGATGTGGCTGGAGCCCGAGTAGTCCTCCGGCTCGGAGGACGTCGAGTCCGCGGAGGACTCCGAGGCGGCCTCGCAGATCCGGTCTTGAGGGAACTGCCCGGATATGCGACTTATCTCGACCTGCAGTCGACCAGCGACCTCTCCTTGCTGACTAATAATCGGGGTGTGATAATCTAACCGTACATCGTGGAACAGTACTTCTAAGAAAATATTGGCGACGCCGATAAGATTGTGATTCTCCTGGGACTCGTAAAACGGATCCTGCGTTTTCCCCGGCACTTCGTCCTGCAAACGACCGTTTGTTATTTATGCGCTCGCGTTGACGGCGCGAGAGAGGCGCGTCTCGATAAAGGAAGACCTTGGTGTACCTTGATGGAAGGTAGTCGCTGACAGTTGTGTGGGTCCTTCCGCTCCTCGTACATGTCCCGCATATCGACTAACTTATTCTCTAGTTTCTCCATCGACCACACTTGGCTACCCGTATTCGTTCTCTTCACTAAAATCGCGGGCTCGCTGACAAACGCGCCCCGCTGAAAGAATACACTCTGCATATCGAAGAGTGTGGAAAAGAAAAGAAAACGAAATAAACGGAAAAATCAACCAAAAGGAAAATAAGCGAGCAAGAGAAAGAATATTTCAGTTAAAGTAAATAACGATGACAGTGGAATAAATCGTGAAAGTGCAGATAAATCAAGCGGAACTTCAAAAAAAAAAAGAGCCGCACAATTGCGGCTCTTTTCTTTTCTATCGCTTTATGATAAATCTGCAAATTAAATGAAAACCGACACTGTATGAAATTGTGCATCACTGCGAAGTGTTGTCGTTACCTTCCTGTTCGGGCTGAGATTGTTCGGAGGGATCTGCAGGGTGACGCTGAATTTCGTCTGTTTGTCCATCTCCTCCGCGAGGAAATTGGCCTCTTGCACCAGCGCGTTGGCCTTCAAGATGTCCGTCTTCAGCTGACCCAAGCTCCTCTTGAACATCTCGTCGCGCTCCTGCGCCCACTTCTCGACGCGCATTTGGGTAGTCGGCGTGCAAGCCGGCAGCTTGCCGCTTTGGCTGCCCCTCAGCGGATCGTACGGTACGTAAGGTGAGTATGGCGTGGAAGGCGACAGTATGTTGCGCAGCTGTTGAAACTGCCGCTCGTACTCCTGCCTCTGCTTCTCCAACGCGACCTTCCAGACGAGAAGCGCATGAGTACGCAGCGCACGCTCGTTATCACGACGCTCACTCTTCGTCGCGAAACGTACCTGCTTATCCTCCTCGTGCTGCTTCTCCAGTCTCGCGATGGCTCTCTGAATGGGATCGTTGGAGAGCTCGTTGAGCATAAGCTCCTCTCGGGCGAAGTTGTAGTCGATGTTCTGCGCCGGAGTTTGCGGCTCGCTGTTGATCGCTGCGGACAGAACGGGGGAGGGGGGGATTTATTGCCGATCGTCTGGCGAAAAGCAGTGACGCGGGAGTCTTATCTCGAAATGAATAATCGCCGCACACCTGTGGCGCTCCTCGGGCAGTTCACTCGGAAGAAGTGGTGGTTGCCCCAGACGATCCTGTCGCCGTGCAACAGCGGGGTCTTGCTCACCACTTGCGTGCCGTTGACGAAACATCGGGCGCCGTTCAACGGCGTCATGTACAGGCCTGACTCCTCTATCGTGATGACGCAGTGCTCCGGCAGAATACCCAGACCGTGCAGCTGGATGTCCTGCTCGATCTTGGCCGAGCGACCGCCCACGAGAGTTCTCTCCTGCGAGGGCAAGGGGCAGATGTATGTAAGACTCGGTCGATCAGCGAGCAACAAGCGCTACGCGCGGCGTTACCTTGAGGTAATAAACCAGCAGCTCGTTCAAGCTCGGGTCGTCGTTCAGATTCACCAGGTAATACTTGTTCTTCTCCACTTGAATGCCGGATGCTTGCACGCTTATTCCCATCTTCTCCAGAGCCTGCTGCCTTTCGTGCTGCAGTCTCTCGGTCTTCACGAGCTTCTCCTCCCACGTCTGCGACATCTCCTTCATCAGCCGTTCCGACTGCGACAGCTTTTCCGTGATGTCTGTGCGTTGCTGGCCGACGATAGATCCTTGACCCTAGTTGAAAGTCGTTGAGGTGTTTCACGCACGTTTGCATATAATAGAAAGAGAGGGGAAAGAGAGAAAGAGAGGGAAGGAGAAAAAGAGTTATGACCGAGCGGAAAAGGATGGCTTACTGTGGCGTGTAGCAACATCTCCTTTAAGGTCTCCACCTCCTGCCTGAGCTCGCGAATAATCCTGGCATTGGGATCCTCGTTGACCACAGCATGATTGACTATCCTCTTCGCTCTGTCGGCGTATCGGAGGGTCGATAGCGTCTCTTCGTAATTGTCTGCGGCCGGCGATATAGTGGCCACCATTACGGTTTTGCTATTTCCACCAAGATTATCCTGGAAATTTCGAGAAGAAACAAAATTATACATTTTTTTATAACATTATATTGTACATAATAAAATTTACTTATTACATAGAGGCTGTTTGACGACAATATCTAAAGCTCTCGTGTAGATTAGGTCAAAATGAACAAAAAAAATTTTACATCATTTTGAAAAAAAAACAAGAGGAAGGTTGCCTATATTGGGTAAGATTTCAATTTTCTTTTTACAATTTGCAAATATTTAATAAAAATGGGATAAAGACTAATTGGAAGTTATCCTCGATCTATTTGCGACATTTTATAAATTTTATTTTTATATTATTTTTAATACGATTATTATTAATATGATTATGATTATGATGATGTGATAAATTTAAAAACTATGAGGGGATAAAAATAAAATACAACCAATTTAAATAAATACATCTTTAATTAAAATTACAGTTTATATAAAAAAAAACAAAGAAAAATATTTTTTAATTATAAAATAAACATTACAATTGCTTATTAAAATAATTATTAAGATTATATCCATTTTTATGTGAAAGTTATTTTATACGAAAGTTGACTTTTTATAGTCATAAAATCATTTTTTGACGTGTAACTAAAAATTACGAAATTTATCTGTTACATCTTCGAAATTAAAATTATAGAAATAAAATATTCATTTTGGAAAACTTAATTAAGAAATAAACAATCATTAAACAAAAATCTATTTTTCGATTAGAACAAAAAACGAGTATAGGTAACAAAAGAAACAAAAGAAAAAGATAAACTGCTAAATAGATTTTAAGAACAATAGTCACGGTTTTCTATGGAAATTCCTAAATTGTATCGATGCAATATAGGTAATCAATAGATGATACAATTTAAAAAACTACTGTTTTTCAAATTATGGCAATAAAATATACACAGAGTAAGATTATGTTCAGACTATGCCATGCAAATATGTCAATTTTAATGTAGTATAAAAATGACAAGTAGCTAAATTAATCTTTTGCAACTTTCGAAATGCCTTATGTTAAAGTAGGTAAGACTCACTTCTTAGAAAAAACCTTTAGTTGCTTTTTTTAACAAGACGCTTTTGTGCATAAACACTCACTTTTCTCCATTAATTTTATGGCGATAGATGAACCTTGCACAATATGCAGATGGCGCCAGGCCTTCAGATTCTATGAGATATAAAGATGCCACAATTTAGGAGTAGGTACAATATCGACAACTTTCCTTTAGAATAAAATTCTGAGTTATCGATTAAAGAAGACTGTGATAAATCGGGCGCAATCATTCACAGATATCGTGAATAGATAACTGATAACTCAAAATTTTATGTGTCTCCTTCTGCGAGATAATGGAGGAATTTTTGGTCCAGTTTCATCCGACCTACACGAGAGCTCTGTGTGTTACCATCAAACACCCTATATAAAATAAATAAATCATACGCATAATAATATACACACATGACTTCTTTATTGTACATTCTCGTATATTCTGTTCGTCCTTTCGACGATTGAGACGCACATAAGAGCATATACAGGGTGTCCAGGATCTTTTGGAAACGAAACATTGTGAAGATTAATCAGATGAAACTGAGGAGAAAAGTCAAGTACCATTTTGCAAAAACCGTTATCAAGTTATTAACGATTGAAAATAACCACATTTGGAAACGTTCTTTTAATTGATAACTTGAAAATTTGCATATATATTTGCAAAATGGTAAAAGACTTTCTTGTTCAGAATGATCTAACCTACAATTATATGATAGATATTGTGCCTAACGATAGATATGAATGTATTGAACTTTAAGTCCTGAATCTTGAACCTGTCGTTAGGTACAATAGCCGTCATATAATTGTAGCTTAGGTCATTCTGAACAAAAAAGTCCTTTATCATTATCTAATTAAAAGAGCCTCTAAATGCGGTCATTTTCAATCATTAATAACTTAATACGCATTGCGATTTTTGCAAAATGGTGGCTTTTCTTCTCAGTTGAATCTGATTAATCTTCACAATTTTTCGTTTCCGACTGATCCCGGACATTCTGTATTTCCAAGGCGACTGATAGAAATGTGATACCTTCAAGAGCCACGTAAGGACAGAATCTCTGTACGGCACGAATTTGTCCTTGTTCTTGTTGCTCCCGGAGTTCTGATCCGCCAGCTTTGAAATGACTAGACCCAACGTCGTTAGGGACCTGAGAAATGAAAAACGCGTGCAGCGCTCTCCTTCTCTCTCTCTCTCTCTCTCTCTCTCTCTCTCTCTCTCTCTCTCTCTCTCTCTCTCTCTCGCACGCGCGATCGGGAAATTCATTTACGGAGCCATGGCGGAGAGCTGTCTCTCCACTTACTTGTTAATATTGCTTCCTTCTTTAAGTCTATCACCCACCGCCCCGGTTTTCACAGCCCTTTCGCTCCCAGCTAAATCCACTAAGCTCATCCGAGAGACCTTCTCCCCGCTGACCCCGCTCTTCGAGTCCGTCAGAGTCTGCGTGAGAATCACCGAGAACACGGCGTGCGAACGGGAGCTCTCCGAGTTCATGTTCGTCGCCGCGACCGTTCGCGACTTGTTACCCTCCGCCATGAGATTGTCAATGTCCTGCAACAGTTGCGACATTCTCCATTAGTCTTGCCGCTCGGGGATTATCTATTCAAAACATTTGATAATGATGCGAGCCAAGCGGCACTCACTGCTCGTGATTAAATTACAATAATCGCCCGTCATTCATTATTCATCGACATTCGTTTTTTTATTCATGAGGGCATCTTTTCGCCGATAAATGATGCGCGAGGTACAATTTCGGTGCCATCAGGCCCGCCGAGAAGTAAAGCTAGGGTTGCCAGATTTGTAAATTGGTAAAGAAGCACGGTCGGAAATATGAACGGGCGAAGGAAGAAAGGAAATATGAACGGGCGGAACGCGTCTCTCATCTGGTCATCTCGCCGAATATTAATTTTCCACCGCATATATTATGAATTTCATGCATCTATTTTACGTATATCACTAGGTGATGATGGTGATAGGTCGGTAGCATATCTGACAGGCAAAAACAAAGAAACTCCTTCGACGCGTAGAGGACAAGCTGAGTAGAAAAATTAATAGGGCTCTGGTAAGGGCCTGATTATTTTTCTCTAACATTAGTCGGGCCCTAGTAGGAATAGAAAAACAAGATGTGTTACAAGTGGTTTAACGGGTCCATATAAGGCAATATTATAAGAGTCTTATAAGGCAATATCAATAAGGCTTTATAAGGAAATATTTTTTATCATTGTTTGAGTAGAAATATTCGCTATTTTTATTCCAAGAAATTTAGACTGCAATTTCTTTGTTTCTTTATAACCTTGTTAGTAACAAGAATTTTTTATTTGAAAAATATAGCGTACTTTACAATAAAATATAGCACTCTTTACGCATAAAAGTTTTGCTACTGTTTTTATTAAAGTACGCTGCATTTCAAAATGAAGGCAATACTAGAAAAATTCTTGAAAGAGACTAATGAATATAGAAACTAATAAAATTAATAACATTTGTTTTTAATTGCGATATAATTAAAAAATCTTTAAAAGAACTAGATAGAGCGTACCTACTAAAACAATACTAAACTGACAATTTTATTACACGCTTCAGATCTTATTAATTTTCTATAACAAAACTTGATTTTGTATATCTAAAGTATTCTCTTAAAAGATGCTTCTGAGATCCATATCAGTTTTCCATGTTAAAGTCTTATTTATTAGATTTAAAGCATCCCTAAAAAAATCCTTCTTGATTTTGTATATGTAAAGCATCCTTAAAATATCCTTCCACATTAGTGACCACATCAGTTTTTCATGTTAAAGCGTTATTTCGTAAAATCCAAGACACATCCCTAAAAAATTCTTTCAAGGCGCTTCTCTTATCAAGCTTTTCTTATCAAAGCCTTATTTCGTAAAATCTATGATATCCCTAAAAGATCCTTCTAAGGCCCTTTTCAGCTTTTCCTATCAAAGTCTTATTTCGTAAAATCTAAGGCACCCCTAATAAATCCTTCTATGGCCTTCATCAGTTTTCCTTATCAAAGCCTCATTTCGTAAAATCTAAGATATTCTTAAAAGACCCATTTCAGAGTCTGATGATAATGAGGCATCCCTTTTTAGGACATCCTCCTTTCAGCCTTATCGGGGCATTACGCTTCATGAGGATATGGCCCTAACAATTGTTTGCTCGGGAAGTAGCACTTTTGGCGGCGCACAAAGATTTCGTTTAATCTTGGCTAGAAAGAAGGACGAAGGAGAGCATCTGGCAACCCTAGGCGAAGCTAATTCGCCGATTACGAAATTCGCGCAATCACAGGAAGCGGACAGTCACCTGGAATGAAGTGACCGCCAGCTGACTGAGTCCGTCCACGTAGGGCCCCAGGACATTGTGCTCCCTGACTTTGAGCGACTGCTTGTTCGGCTTCGGGTCCAGGAGGTCGTGCACCTTCTCGTTGTAAATCTCCATGTAAGACACCTCGACCTTGTACGTGAGCTCGGAACTCTGTTGCTTCGCTATCATGTCGAAGAGATTGTCGCACAGCCGCGGTATTATCCCTTTGTTGTCGCCACTGCCCATCATCGTGTAAGACTTCCCGGAGCCTACGGGGTTAAGCGGCGCGAACGCGCGCATGACGAGAAACAGCTTTAAAATCCTCTTTGCCACCTTCCGACGAGTGCTCTTAAGCTTAACATCAATATTTGCTCAGTTATAAAACGACTGAGGCCGGGCGACGCGCCGACGGGGAAGAAGTCTTTGAACATCTCTGGGAATTGATACTCTAAGGACATTTCTCTCTCCGCGCGTCGGAGCGCTTCTCGAGGAACAATCCCGCGGCGCTCAGGGATTCGTCCTTTCGCTGACACGCGTCGCCGTTAACGCGACGCGATTCTGGATTTAACGGGACGCTCGACTTCCTCGGTTTCTTCTTCGCGACTATTGCGTGCGGGTAATTTGAGGAAAAATAGCTGGGATTTGTTCCGCGCTGAGCGCGACGCGACATTTAGCCGAGCGTTCAGCAGCTTCCTCGCTTTTTTCTAACATTACAGGCTGCGCTTGGTAATTTGAAAGGAAAAGAAGACAGCTGGAATTCGTTTGACGACGCGGTGGCGGCGGCAAGACGGAGCATGAGCGTGAGAGATGAGTCTTTTTAACCTCTCGACTGGGGCGAGCTGAGTCTCGCAAAGGTGCTCAAGCTGGTGGAAAATGGATTTTCAAAAGTTTAGTCGTTAACATTCTGGCTGCTATTTAGAGACAACGTGTAAGACAGCAATAATCTTACTTTAGTCCTGCCTTAATTAGTCCTTCGAGAGACCAGCCTATCCAAAGATGAAGGCTACGTTATTCAGAGATATTTTTCCGAAATTAATTAAGTTTGATATTCAGACTAAGGAAATTAAATTTTTCGGACAGTATTCGCAGTAAGATGTTATACTTGTCTTAAATTTATCTTCAGATACTTTTCGTAGCCAATGAAATGCAATCACCAGGGAACTGTCAAAACGCGACTTTTGGGGTTCGTATTCACATTTTGAGATTCTTCTTTTCTTTTAATTTGTGACAGTAAAATTATTCTCAATGGACGCATCGAATAAAATAAAGCGAAGTAGGAAGGCTAATGGGATTATAAAGGAGAAAAGTTTCCTGACCGATTCGATGTTGGAAAGAAAGAACATTATCGAAAAAAGATATACGAACACGAATAAGGTCAAACAAGAATGTTGGAAGGAGATTCTTGATATCAATATATGATATCAATATATATGTTATTTTTTTGTTTGTCAACGCAGCATTGCGCTTCCACCAGTTGAGAGGTTAACCGATTTGTTGGTGGATTCGAAATCAACATTCTGTGCCAAAACCAGTGACAGTAAATAATTTCGTATTTTACATGAAAGCTTACCTATAAGGGTTTTTCTTATATGATGGCTTCAAAATGGCTAACATTGATATTCCATTACGAAGAAGAGTGTATTCCATATGCTCATATTTTTCGGGTCGTTGGTGACGAAGTCCGGAGTCGACATTTCAAAATTCAAAATGGCGACTTTAAGTGGCTAACTTTGATATTCCATTATAGATACGTATCAATCGGGATGTTTTTTGATCGCAGATAACGACTGTCATAAATCCGAGGTTTTCACTAGTGCCATTTGGCAAAAAGGCCGTTTCTTTCAACATACTTCACTCGTTAATGATGGAGGTAAGAATATCCATAATGGAATACCGTTACTCACTGGATGCCGCCATATTCACCATTCTAGATTTTGCAATTTCGACTGGATTCATCATCAGCAACCCAAAAAACATGAACATATCGAATATATGATCTCCTCTATAATGGAATAACAAAATTAGTCATTTTGAGCCGCCATATTGGATCTGCTATTTCGAATTTTGAAATTTTGACTCCGGGCTCATCATTAGTGACCCGAAAACCCCTCCATAAAGAAGATTCACACGAAATGAAATGGGGTTGTCAATCTTAATAAATATCCTTCAGAAGCGGACAAAATTGAGTGTCTAAGCCCGGCCATATTGGACTCGCCATCATGAATTTCACAAATTTGATTTCGGGTTCGGGTAATTAGCGACTCAAAGGAACATGGGTGTACCAAGTTTGATGCGAATAATGTTAAAAATTGGCAGAGTTATTATTCATACTGCTCATATATGAGTCATCACAGGTTTTGGCACTTGGTCTTCTTTTCGCGCACATATGAGTCATCATCAGCGAACTGGTTGAGAGATTCTTTAGAGAAGAGCACGTAAAATGCCATTCTCTCCTTTTCCGCCCTTAACGCACGGAGAGTGTCCGTTATGAACGGCAAACACGGTGCTCTGTTCCGCCTGGTGGGTCAATGTCTCTCGCCCCGCGGAAGATCAAGCGTGCTGGTCGTTTACCAGCGACGAGCCGACCGACTAATTGCGTTATTCGCTGCATTACGCTCCGTTCGTGCGATCAAGCAGCCGCCTAGTCGCGCTTCCTCAGTCGTTACTCTTCGAATATGATTCTCATGCTTCCGAGCGTCGCCGGGGCGACACTTCGAGGCACTTCGAGAAGAAGCCTAGCTGGCCGCCCGAGAGACTTTCTTCCTTGCCTCGCTTAGCCACTCACCGGTCTGTCCGTAAGCGAAGATGCAGGCGTTGTAACCTTGGAACGCATTGTCCAAGATGTCGCGACCCAGGGCATCGAAGACGATTTCCTGGCTCGCGAAGTTCTCCGCCCCGGGCTCCAGGGAGTAGAAGCAGTGGTCGAACGCGAAGGTCTTCGGCTTGTTCCTGCAACAGTCACGTGAAAGAAAAAAAAAAGTATGAAAGACGTATCGTTAGGTAGAATCGACAGAAATGGATTAGGTCGCGTCGCCGTGCCCGCGGAAATTGAAATGGCGTGCTCTCCCTCCCCTCCTCCCTCTCTCTCTCTCTTTCTCTCTCTTCCTCTATCGGCTCAAATGTCAAAAGCGTCTCTGGTCTCTGCGGTATCGGCGAAAACGATCGCGGATCGCGCGTTGTTATCGATTTTCAGTCATGTCGCGGCTCCGACCGCTCGGTTATTTCGGAAAAGAGAGGACAAGGAGCGAAAACGACAGAGAGAGAGAGAGAGAGAGAGAGAGAGAGAGAGAGAGAGAGAGAGACAAGAAGGAGAGAGCGAGTTCGGCGCGCAGGATACGCCGGCGGGCGTGTCGAGAGGCGGAAGTGGAGATACGCGCGCTCCGGCGGATTTTCCGCAAGAGACGGAAAAGCCGATATAATATTTTCCGTGCTGACGAAAGGGAAGCTCCGGGCCGTCACTATCGCGGCGGAACGGCGCGCATTAATAAGCGCCGTCGTCGGCGCGGTTCTTTTGTCACCGCGGCGCGCGGCCGCCATATGTCGGCGAGCCGAGCGGCAAAAATGCGCGCGGCTGAGACCCGATCGCGTCGGCGACAAACAATGATCCGCGTATCGATCGCGTCGTGTCCGCGTATGAGTCACGCGCCGCAATAAATGTGCAGACCGATCGGAGGGTCGTCGCCGGCCGGCGCGAGCGGCTCGCGCGCGTCGATCATCGATTTCCAAGCGTTACGTAACTAGTGTGTCTCTTGCCGGCCGAGGACGCACTTTGCTTCCGTCACGCACTCCACCGTCGCGACAGGTGAGGGGGAGGGGAGGGCGAGGCACAAACCGAGGAAGAAACGGCGACCGAGCGACGAGCGCGGCGGGAGAGAGGCTCACACGCGGATCCGCTGAGGAGAGAAGGGACGACGCCTCTCCTCGCGCCTCGGACCTGTCGCGGCGGCGACTCGCGCGAGAACGGCGCCTCTCTTAATTGGACGAAGAAGCCGGCTCTGGCCGCATCGCGTGAGATGCCCGGCCTGAGATTACGATTCGGCGCGTGCATGCAGCCGCGTTCCGAGCAACGCGGCCTTCGGCACGCGAGCCTCTGCGGCGGGACGTCGGCGGAGCGACGCAGCGCGGCGGCTCGCGTTTCCGGTTTGGGCCAAGTAGGTTACCGCGACACGCGCCGCCGCGACCTACCCTCCTTCGTTCACCTGGCGGGCCTCGCGGACGGAGGACGGTATCCTCCGAGGTCGCGCTGTGAGAGCGCGGGCCTCATGGCAGGCTTTTCGTTAACCCCTCGAACCGGCTGCCACGGCTGAAATTTCACCCCGTGCGAATTCCCCTCTTGTTGACGTGAAATTAACGCCGCCGCAAACAATAACTTCTCCACTTTTCATCTAATATTCGATGATCATTTTTTAAATTTATTTATTACCGTCGCATTTCGTCGCATTCAACGTGATGTTTTTGTCTTGTGGTAGCAGCTTTTAAGGGTGTAAAACGCCCTCTGTTAAACGCTATGTAACTTTGAAGTCGCATATATTGATGTGATCGGGGTTGGATGAGTTAGTGGTATTTGTTTTTTAAACTAAGTTAATCTCACAAAGTCAATGACTCGTAAATTAACCAAGTTTACGTTAAAAGTTACTTAAACTGACTCGATTGAAAATTAAGTTAATTTGTTAAAGTTAATTACTCTAAGCTAAATGTTTTTTTTTTTACATAATTCATTTTTTCATTATAAGCCGCCATATTGGATCCGCCGTTCTAGATTTTGCAATTTCGACTGGATTCATCATCAGCGACCCAGAAAACATGAACATATCGAATATGATCTCTATAATGAAATAACAAAATTGAGTGTTTCAGCGCCGCCATATTGGATTCGCGATTAAATTTAGGTGAAATAATAAAAAGGTAGTATTTTATGAAAGAGATAATGTATATTTCCTTTTTTAATAATGTACGTTATTTAAAAAGTACAATAGTTGTGATGGAGAGAGATAAAGCGCTTTGAAACAAAGCGTTCAATTAAAAACAATTGCAAAAACAATGAAGGGCAAAATGTTCGTGTGCAGGTAGAGCGGCGAATCAGATCGAACAGGAAAATCCTATATTATTTTACAATCAAAGAATTGATTAAACAACCTATTAGCGAGCACGCGGGAAGCGACGAGGTTTCATCGAAAATGACTCGAGTTTGTTGATGATCTGTTGGCAACGGCAAACGACGCATGATACCAACTGCACAACTCCAATATCTACCGTCATGAACCTTTACCAGGGGATTATCAACAGATTCGAATCATTTTGAATGAGACTGTGTCTGCAGAGGTCATCCTTCTGCTAATGTTAATACTTTAATTAATATCTTTACTTAATACTTAGTTAAATACTAATACTTTAATTGAATTCCTTAATTATTGTGAGCCATCTTCACGCGACGTCAATGTCGACGAATTATTTTAACTCTTGACTTGAAGAAAGTTAACAAGTCAACGTTAACGCGTTAAAAAAATAACTAGTTTAAGTTAAGAGTTGACGCGTTTAAAGTTAACCGAGTTACATTAAAAAATTTATTAACTTTCCAACTTAACTGCTTTCAACTGCTTAACCAGTCGGCTCAACCCGAGCTCGGCTGATATTCTTAACTTAAATTACACACGCATGTGCAAATATCGTGACTTCACCAGTTTTTTCTTCGAATAAAATCTTTGAAAGTTATAAATTAATTGGTAATTTATATCTGGAGGTTGATATCCACTGGCTTCACGTTGCATAACTTTTTTCATTTACTCGCGAAAAAAATTAATTTACAGAGGATTAACTCGATGATTCTTCGGGTCTTTGAAAGAAACATTTGAATCGACGTTCGTTAGTGCGCTAAAATTTGGTCTCTTAATTTCCCCTTCCAATTCCATTCATCAAGTGCACAAATACAAAACATAAACACCTGTAGGGGTGCATTCGCTCTCTCCTTAGATCTCTGCCAATCTCCGGTACTCCCTCACCCCCTCTCTCTCTCGACTTGCTCTCCGTCTCTTCTCTTCCCTAAGGCCGGGTCTACAATAGGTGTAGTAAGCTTTAAGCCTTAAGAAATTAACTAATCCTAGTCGATTTTTACAAGAATAATCGAATAAGGTTAACCAATTTCTTAAGGCTTAAAGCTTACTACACCTATTGTAGACCCGGCCTAACGCTATACGAAAGACGAACAAATCCTCACTCGGCACTTATTTTGTACGTTTTTTGACGAGCTTGTACCCGACATCTACCGAGTGTTCTCCAAAGTACGCTGCAATTCTCTTGCTTTCCGATATCCGCAAAATACACGTCATTTTCTCAGATCTCTCAATGCTGCGCGGTCTCGATCCGGGTCTTACTCTGCAGATTTTCTCCGCTTTCTTTTCTTTAGCGAGACAGCGTCGCCTCATCGTTAGACGGAAGAAATATTGCAGCGAAAATGGCGAAGAAAATTTCGGCAATCTCGGCAATCCCGTACAGAAATATGAACGAACGCGTTTGTTTGAAAAAACGCCCGTTTGACGGTTTACCGCATACGATACGGTGATTACTTGAACGGTTGCTTGTTTAGTTCAGTTATGATTGTTCTCCTGTTGCCCGCTGTTTTTAATTACAGTAATTTAGAGCTTCGCGGAAATCTATCGTAAGTAGGAACATAATCGCAACGTAATTTCTGCCACAAGGCATTTTCTCCGCGTGCGCAGCTCGTCCATTGTGTATTCCGTTTCCCCGTTATTTACTACTCGCAACAGTAATTATTCGTGCTGCAATATCGATACGCGCGCACATACAATGCATCTCGTCTTGTTAATAATCATATTTCGTTAACCGGCTGACCGCCGCGCTAATTTCCGCGCATTATTTCGATGCTCGAGCTCGAGTCGCTCGATGTATGTCAAATAAATGCAATCTGCGATGCGCATATTCATTAGCCCTCGTTTCATTGGTTCTCTGTCAGCCGTATATTTAATTTGTTATACACAGTTGGTTACGTCTCATTCGTAAATTAATGACATCTGTTAACGATTATCGACCGCGGATAATCGCAACGCATGTTGATACAAATATAAATCTGCTCTCAAAGCGCGCGAGAGACCGGCGCGTTTTCGGGTTATCGATTTTCCGCTGATTATTCCGATTAACGCGCATCCCCCTCCCCCCGACGTCCTTCACCTTGACATATATATTATTAAGGGCGCTATGCTGAATAACACACGAAAAAGCTTCTCAGCCGTCTCGGTACTTGTTTACCACAAAGTTCTCGATAAAACAAGTTCCACAAATGGAACGTTTTTCTACGATACAGCGATATATCGAGGGCACCCCCCCCCTGCGCATGCACACGTGTATTGTTGTTCTTAAATAAACAATATGCACGTGTATTGTTTACGCATCAAGAATTAATGGTAGGCGAAATCTGCTGCAGAACACATTTCATTAATATGATGTAGTTCCCCGACATTGTGTATATTAAAAAAATAGGTAGAAGGATTTATGGCGGATTTATAGCGGATTTATGAAGGATTTATGGCGGATTTGTGTATGTGAAACAGTCATGTATGTACACCAGAGAGCTTTCCTTTCCTCCATACCATACCTAACCTAACCTGCATCATTGTGATGCTAATGAAGTTTAGGATCGGTTAGGTTAGGTTAGGTTGAGGGGGGATGCCGGGGGAGTAACTAAACGAGGTTTTGTTGTAGCAATGAAAGAGCGTATTGCATCGACTGTCCCCGCAGCAATACGTCGAAAAATTGCACGTCTTGCGGGAACAATTATTTATAGCGGCTACTTGGAACGGACGCATAAATTTAAAGAACAGAGATTACCACGCCACATGTCGCTTGATCATTCCGGGAACTTTGCAGTCACGGGAGTTTACACTCAAAATATCAGGCAGTTATATCCGACAAGGAATACAAATTGTAACAAGGAT